TAAAGCTAACGAATGACAATCGTTAAAAGAATGAAAAATCTTACATGAAAATGAGGGCGCACTCGGTTAGAGAGAGATGACCTGTTCTGTTTCGAGCAGAATTTCCTCAAGTAGATACGATAAACGGGAAAAATCTCCGACAATGGAAGGCAAATTCAGAGGGACTGAGGTTTCGGAGATGGGCAGAAACCAGAAATCGGGTTGGATGTTGGAGAAGATAAAGAGCTCACCAACCCTGAGGTCCATGACGCGATAAAACCAAGTCGCGGGCATAAACAAAGGCATTTGGTGCATGATTATTTATATAAAAACCATTAAAAAGTCACTCTTAAACTAGTAGGTGGTCCGTGCGATGCACGGGAAAACAATATTACAATTGTATTATAAATTAAATACACAAATAAACTAATCGAGATTTACCTATCGTTTTTAAAATTAAACCGTGTTGGACACAGTCCGACCGGATGGACCGAGAAGCAGTTTATAATCAGTCTAGTTCACTTGAATAAAATATTTGCTGTTGAATCTGTCAAGATCAGTCGGTTGAACAGGTAAGATCGATACGATTTTCTAAATAATTTTGGTGTATTTAAAATTATTTTAAATAAAATTACATACGTTTAATAAAATATAAATTTATAAATTGTTTATCAATTAATTTAAACATTTGAAATTTTAGGTTATTTAAATATTTAAGTAACACATTTTATTCAAATTTATTACACAAATTACCATATATATGCGTATTTTTAAAGAAAAAAAATTAAATTGTATGATTTTTATAGATTAAATTTGATTGGTTATAGCGTATTTATACATTAAATTGGATGATTTTTAAAGAAAAATAAGAAAAATAATAAAACTACTATTTATGAGTTGCATTAAATGTTGACTATTTTTTTCTACTAATCTTAGTAAATAGGATGACTCTTTATATAAGTATAGATAGATAATATCAATCAATTATCCTTACGCATCAATTTTAATTTACTATTTGTTCACTCGCATCTTTCTTTCATTACTTTTAATTATTTCTCTCCTATTTTTACATCAAATTAATTTTAATCATTTTTATTTTAAATATAATTTTAATATTAACTCAGAATTATACTCAAATCTAACTCAATCAATTCTTTTAAACTATAGTTACAAAAAATA